CTTATTATTCACTGACTCTAGTTCTTTCAGCAAGCAAGGCTCTGTCATCTGCATACTTTAGGTTATTAATGAGTCTCCTCTAATCTTGATGGCACACTCCTCCTCAGAAAGCCCTGCTTCCCGAATGATCTGTTCTGCAAACAGACCAAAAATGTACAGAGACAGGATGAATCCCTGAAGCACTCCTTTCTGATTTTGAACCATGCAGTGTTTCCTGGCTCTGTTCTGAGGACTGCTTCTTGATCCAAGTATACGTTTCATGTAAGCATGATCAAGTGTTCTGAGATTCTCATTTTCCTCAAGGTTAACCACAATTTATTATGATCCACACAGTCAAATGCCTTTGCACAGTCAATGAAACACAGACATTCTTCTGGTACTCTCTGCTTTCTGCCAAGATCCATCTGACACTGGCAATAATGTCCCTACTGCCACAACCTCTTCTGAACCCAGCTTGTATTTCTGGTAGTTCTCTAAGTACTGTTCAAATCTTTTCTGGATGATCTTCAACAGGATTTTGATAGTGTGTGATATTAGCGATGTCAGTCTAGATACAAAGGTGTGCCTAATCCAGGCCATGGTCTTCTCAATTACTTGTTATGCTTCAGAGAGTTGGAAATGGCTAAGGATGACAGAAGAAGAATAAATGCCTCCGAGTTGTTGTGCTGGAGAAGAGTCTTAAACACACCATGGACTTCCAAGAAAACAAATTGATCTGTCTTGGAGAGGGTGAAACCTAGTCTTCTCCTTGGAGGCTAGGATTTTGAAACTCTGCCTCACTTACTTTGGGAATGTGGCTAGGAGAGATTGGTCCTTTAGAGAAGGACATCGTGCTTGGAAGGGTGGACGGACAGTGCAGGAGAGGGAGACCCCAGAGGAGATGGATTGATACACTATCTGGAGCAATGAGGTTGGTGTTTCAGAGTTAGTGAAACTGGCTGAGGACAGGGAAGGGTTCAGAGCTGCTGTACATAGGGTTGTTATACATTCCAGGTGACTCAATGGCACATAACAACAATAACATACTATGACAGGTTTGGAAGCAGGAGTGGCATCCACTTCCTAAACCACATGCCTCTGGAAACTCTTGATAGAGTGTCAATGGTTGTAGAGGGGCTTCAGGCCTTTTGTTCATGGGGTCACTATGAGTCATGCTTGACTTGAAGGCAATCAACAACAACTAATCCTTTGCACATTTCATTATAATACTTTGCTTTGTTGCCTCAAGCTGCCCTTTAAAATCTTCTGTTTAGACTACACAGTGGAGTGGACTTGGGGGGGGAGTGATTGCATAACAATGAAAGTTTTTCTTTTACTTTGCAGGGAGAAGAGTGAATGGGGGAGGGGGTGGGCAGGGAGAAAAGTGCAACAACGAATGAATGGAAACCCTAAGTCCCTTTAAACTTTCATTACAATTAAATTTCAAAGATCTTCTGTTTAGCTCTTTTACTTCAGCAACTCTTCCCTTTATTTTGGTTTCTCAACTCTCTAGTGCAAATGTCATAGTTTCTTCTTCTCTCTCCTGTCTTTGTAATGACATTTTTCCTCCCTTCATGGATGAGAGCCTTGATTTCATTCCACAGCTCCTCTAGTCTTCCATCATTGGTAATCAATGCCTCAAACCTGGTGGGTTTTTTTCCATTTTTGCACATTTCCCCCCTCTTCCCCTCCCTCAGCCCACCCCATAAATGTACCCCTTGTTCCAGACTGTTGTCATACACGTAATACCTAATTATAGATTCTTTTTGAACAGTTCTTCCCCTCACCTGTTCTAATGCAGCATTCATTATCTGTCTACTCTTCTCGCATTCTCTCCCCAACCCCCTCATGTCTGTCCTATTTTATAATAGCGGTGTTACACAGTGTTTGTCATTCTGTGACTGAGATATTTCACTCAGCATAAGGTCCTCCAGGCTCAACCATGTTGTGTTTTAACGAGTTCATTGTTTCTCAATGCTGAGTAATATTTCATTGTGTGAATGTACCATAGTTTTTCTATCCATTTTTTTGGTCAGTGGACACTTGGATTGCTTCCATGACTTTGCTATTGGGAATAATGAAGCAATAAGCATATATGTACATCAGACCCGTTCTTAAGATGATTTCTGAATTCAGATGGAATAAATTTAAGGTCATATCACTATGACGTGACTTAACAACAAATTGCAAGGGGAGAAGACTATTTTTCTCTTAGGGAACCACTAGTGACTTTGAACCACCGAAGATGTGAAGCCTTTGGATTCACAGTGCAACTCACTATGGACTACACCACTCTCTAAATCAGCAGCAGCATCCCCATTTTACAGGCAAGAATCTGAGGCTCCAAAGAAGTACCTTGTGCAAGTTCATGCAGCTAATTAGTGGCAGAGCCAAGATCAGAGCTTGAGGCTAACTACTCACAGGACTCCTGTCCTTGTCCCCTCCCCTTTCACTGGCCCCTCCTCATCTTTGGGAACTCCTTCCCACTTCACACCTCATCTCCTTCAAGACAGCCTCTCGTGGCTGCTCCTTTGGCGAGGGCCACTCCCTGGTACCAAGTGCACTTGTCCTGAACTGTCAACCTCCCCTTCCTGTGCACAGGGCCCATGGTGCTAAAGAAATGTCCATAATGTGAAGTTAGTGTCTCTTCAAGTGCCAGGCTCAGAGCTGGACACAGTAGATGCTCAATAACATTAATGTCACATTGAAGTTCAAGGCTCTACCAGTCCCATGCAGCTGGGCAGGGCTTTCTGAGTGAAGTTTAGGGGCCAGGATGGGTTCAAACTAGGGCTGCACGGGCCCTGCCAACCTCATGCCTCACCCTTTGTCCTTTCTTTTTATCCCTTCAACCTTCCCCCCCTTTTTAATTATTTTTTATTATTATTCATTTTAATGAAAGTTTCCAGAGATGTAGGGTTTCCAGTCATTCACTGTTGCACTTTTCTCCCTGCCCACACCTCCCTTCCAATTCGCTCTTCTCTTTGTAAAGTAAAATTATTTCATTGTTATACAATCCCTCCCCATAAGTCCACTCCACTATCAGCCTTCCTTCTGGACTTCTGTTATGACAGTAATATCTAATCATATATCCCTTTTAAACAGTTCTCTCCCTCATCTGTTTCAATGCAGTATACATAATTTATCCCATCTTCCTCAATCTCCCCCCAACCCTGATGTCAGTCCCGTTTTACAACAGTGGCAGTATGCAGTTAATTTGTCCTTTTGTGACTGAGATATTTCCCTCAGCATAATGTCCTCCAGGGTCACCCATTTTGTATATTTCATGAGTTTCTTGTTTTTCAAAGTCAACCTTTTTTTTTTTTGTCAGACAGTGATTCTTCCTTGTCACTTGGCTTCTCCTCACCCCTATACCACCTCTCCTTTCTTGGCCTGGACATCCTCCTTTTTCTTACTAAGTTTATCTGTCCTGTTACTTTTTCTTTATTCTTTTCTCGGGTCCCTGCCCAGGGCAAACCATCAGAGGCTATTTAGATAAAGGGAGCTCTACCTTTAGGCCTTGACTGGTCGGCCTTTAGGCCTTGCTGAGAAGAGGCTCTCCTGATTAAACTGTATCCTGAATTGTAACCTGTTGTTTTTAGCTGCCATCAAGTTGACAAGTCATAACCACTTTATAAACCACGGATCTGAACCTTGTCTTCTCCTGCACTATCCTCATCATCCCTGATATGCTCAAGCCCATTGTTACAATCAGTGTCAACCCATCTCATCCAGGTCTTCCTCTCCTGTGCTGATTCTCCATTCCTACAAGCACGATATCCCTCTCCAAGGGCTCGCCCTCTCCTGACAACGTGCCCAAAGTACGTGCAATGGAGCTACAGAATCCTTGCCTCCAAGGAGCAGCCTCATTTCACCTTCTCCAGGACAGACCTGGTTTTGTTTTTTTTCCTTGGCAGTCCATGGTATGTTCAATACTCTCTCCAGCACTGCAACTCAAAGGCATCAATTCTTCTTCTGTCATCCTCAGTCACTTTCTAGTTCTCAGATCCACAGCAAGCAACATATGGCCTATATTCTCCCACAGTCCCTGCCAACTAGGGGATTCATAAACCTCAACAGCCAGCACCTGCCGATCTTCAATTCATCAGCTCCAGAAAATACCTACATCCAGGTTAATGTCTGACCTACAGATCTGCTAACCCCTAACTGTGTGAGCCACTTCCTTGAGCCCCTTCAATATACAAAAGATATCCTTTCCTAAAGACCTCGCTGAAGACTCATGTCTCAGTTTCCCCATCTTTAAACCTCAGAGTGTGTTATACTGTTAGGTGCCATCAAGTCACCTATGACTCATAGCAACTCTGAACAACAGATCTGAACCTTGTGCGTCCTGCCCAATCTCTGTCATGCTCAGGGGCACTGCTGTGGTCACTGTGTCAATCCACCTCGCCGACAGTCTTCTTCTCTTTTGCTGACCCTCTGCAATTCCGAGCATAGTGTCTCTGAAGGTGCATGTGTACATGAAATGAGGTAAAATGCATGGAAGACTCGGAGTACATTTAAGAAATGGCAGCTCTTATTGTCATTATTATTACAGATGGTAACAAAGCACTAATCAAGCCTCCTTTCATACATCAGCCTCCTGAGGGTGGGTTTTTATGAGTTGCTCCTGATTCAGAAGACAGCTGAGGCTCAGTAAGGGTCCTCATTTCCTTCGATAGGAAATGAAGCAATTGATTTGGGTGTCCTCTCAATGCCCAGCTCACTCTCCAAGCTGGGTGGGTATCAGAGGGGCGGGGAGGGCAGAGAGTCCAATTTCTCTGAGCCTATTTAGTCCCAGGGCTTCCAAACCTAGGGGACACCGTGCCCTGTCCTGGAGGGGACAACTTTTCCAGCTTCTGGTCCTCTTAAGTCCTCATGCAATGTGGACTATATAAAATCCAGCCGGGGTGGGGAGAGGATTCTGGCTGCCTTGCGTGGAGTGAGGCACCTACCGTGGCTGCCTTCCTGGGAGACAGTTCCTGCCCTGTCAGTCCCAGGCACCTGGAGGAGCCCCCTGCCCCTCATGGAGAGACCTGCAGCATGTCTTCACTGAAATCCACCCCATCACTCCTGGCTCTTCGCTCGACACAACTACTCTTGTCCTGGATGATCTTCCCAGGCGTCTTCAGGAATCTGGAATCCAGGCCACAGCTGCAAATTAGCCCTGCCCCCAGCTACAGGGGGCTCCTCACCCAGTGGGTCACAGACCCACCTCCCATTTTACCTCAGCCCGCAGCCACTCACCTGAACAGAAGCTTCTGCCCAGGCTCTTTCTTAATGATGTTCAGTTTGTAGTAGTGGCGCAGGGCGCGGGACATTTTCTCATAGGTCATGTTCACCCGGTTCTAAGAAGGCAAAGCAGCCGACGTCACCATCCCTTGAATTTGGAAAGAGAAGTCCAGGGGAGAAATAGCAAGACGGGCCTTTCACCTGGGCTTTGGGGTTAGTTGGAAGCCCAGCTCCACCACTTGGAAACCATGTGATCTTGGGACATGTTTCATTACCTCTATGTTTTATTTGCTGGTATATAAGAAAATGAACAAGGGGAGCTCTGGTGGCCTAGTGGCAAGGAGCTGCAACTACAATCCCAGAGGCGCACGGTTCAAATCCACCAGATGCTCTGCCGGGGAAGGAGGGACAATGTCCTGTACCAGTCAGATCTGATTTGACGGTACACTCACACAAAAATAATAAAATTAAAAAAAAAAGAAAATTAACATCGCTTTCTAGATTGTGGTGAGATTAAATTAGCCAAACCATGGAAAAGGAGGGAGCTTGGGTGGCCTATTGGCAAGAAGCTGCGGTGCAATCCCGAAGGCCCGCAGTTCAAGGCCACCATCTGCTCTGCGGGAGCAGGATGGGCAACCTCCTCCCATGTGATTAACTGCCTCTGAAAACCCGCCAGAGGGTCAGCTATGGGTCGGTTCCGATTCTATGGTACTCAACAACAACCATGAAAAAGGGGACTCTAGTGGCTTCGTGGTGAGGAGTTGTGCTGCCAATCCAAAGGCAGATGTTCGACTCCACCAGCTGCTCCTCGGGAGTTTTAAAAGGCTCAAATGCTAAATAAAAGTGAGAAGAAGTGACTAAAAGGCAAGATTACTGAGTTTCTTGACAATCTCTAGCCACAAGAGGTTAACTTCAGAGTCCTCAGTATCTTCCAAAGAGAAAGCGTCTGGGCACTCTGGCAGCTGGTGTAGCCCTGCCCACTGAAGACTGTCTTCTAGAGCTACGTGGTCCACTGTGACCCTCTGCCCTGCCCTCTGCTGGAAGAGTGGAGACTACCCCACCTGTTGGAACTGAGGTTCACCTTGTGGTTTCCCCAGAGTCTCGCAAGTCCATTTGGATCCACAACTCGAAAGATCTTGGCATCTCTGTCTTCCCATCTAATGTAGGGTTCATACCTGGTATCAGAGAGGAGTTGGTACACGTAATTCCACAGCAGCCGGCAGTCTGCAATGTAGCAAAGGGGGTGCAGACAGGGCATGTTACTGGAGCCATTAAGGACTGAGAACTTTGAGGCTGGGGCTCTGAAAGCATCAGAAAGTTGGTGAAGATGGTGGTGTTAACAGAAATGGCTGCTTTGGGGAGCTCATTACTCATGTCTCGTCCAATCCTCATCCCTCCAGGAGGCGGGTATCTTTAGCCCCATTTTGGTTTTGTTTACTCGTTATTCCATTGATTCTGGCTTAAGGAGAACTCATGTGTGCCGAGCAAAGCGGCTGCTTTAGCTTGTCCAAGGTTGTGACCTACTTTCAGAGCAGTCTAGGTGGGTTTGAACTGCCAATCTTTCCCATAGGGATTAACTTACCTCCTTAAGTGGCAAGCAGGACAGGAAATCTAATATAGCACTGCCCAGTGCCAAAGCCTTTCATCCAAAGGCACTTTTATCCAAGGGCAGCACAGGCTGAGGTGCCAAATATCAGCCCCCAGGTCCCTCTCTGCCCCATCCAGTCGCTTACTCACCAGGACCTATGTTAAAGCGGGATGATAAAGTCCAGCCCGTCTACACCCCTGAGAGACACTAGCTGGATTCTCATCTTCTGTGCAGGAGACAAGATTTAATTCCTGGCCAATACACTTCAGCAGAGCTTTCAGACTAAGATGGTCTGGGGCTCTACTTCCAAAATACCCAGGAAAACTGAGGGATCACAACAGTCACCCGTTTGTGGGATCATGCACCTCACTGTGCATAGCATTGCCATGGGCTGGATTCCAATACAATGGCAACAAACATCAACAATCTCCATCCCTGTCAGTGGCGTTCTGTGCCTCTGAGAGGGCCAGTGGGCACAGAGAGTCTGGAACAATGATGTGATCCTGAATCCTTGTACCCAAACTTCATGGCTGGGGGATTTCGGTCAAGTCACCTTAGCTGTTTCAAGCCATTGTTTCAGCAGAAGGCGTGATATAAGAACCAATCATATAATTGGGGGGGGGGTGGAAACCAACAACACTGCCTAGTAAAAAAGTAAATGCTCAATGGAAGTGAAGTATTGGGAGTAAGTGGGGGGCCGAGGGTGAGGAGGGAGGGAAATCATGGGGTCACAGTTTGGTGGGTAGAGGGAGGGGTGAAGGAATTAGGAAAGATCTAGTGGGGATCTGAGAAGACCGAGTAGTAGGCATAAATCAATGGTGATTAATTTTATACATGGGAATGACTGTATGGAACACAATGTGAATGAAGGAATGAAAAAAGAAAAGGAAGTTAAGTATTATTATTTAAAGATCAAATTATGTTTCAGACATTCCTGTCATTTCCAACCTAGAAGCCAGGTTTCTGGCTCCCTGAAGTGTTTTAAAAGAAATGTGGTGGCCCCACCATCACTAGAAAAGGCCCTTTAAAAAGGAAGGAAGCTTATCTGTCAGTCAGGAAATTTAAAAATGATTGGGGAGTGGAGCTGGGCTGTCTGGATTTATATCCCAGCTCTGCAACTTACTTCACTGTGCCACTCTCAAAGGGCTGAGGATTGAATAAATCAATTCAGGTAAAGTCCTTTGAATCATGCCAGGCACACAGTAAACACTCAATTTCAAAATCAATATCATTTAAAAGGGAGCCCGGGAGGATAGCTTCTTGGTGCCAATTTGAGTGCTGGCTCTGTTTTGCTGACCTGGCTTTGCCCCGGAGAGAAGGTGGGCTTGCTTCTCCCAATCACCACTGCTGCTGGAGCCAGATTACGGTCAGCATGCAGGCACACCACTCAACCCCTCTGAACCAGGCCTCTCACGCCCCTAGGACTCCACTCTGCACACTTCCCTCCTCGGTGGGGAACACAGCCCCCTACTCACCAGCGATCCTGCCGTCAATGGGGGCCTGGGTCATGGTACAGGAGGAGCGGACCTCCTCAGACTGGCAGCCAAGTTCTGCACAATGAGATAAGTTGAAGGGCTCTTCCCTGCTAAGAGGCCACTTGGTCAAGTCGGGGACATCCAAGCAGCTCAAGGGGCTGGCAAGCAAGTACCAGGTCTGGTGGCTGCTGCAAGAAGCCACTCCAGAGAGCTCCCTGGGAGGGCCTAGTCCCTTTTGAAAACAGACCAACAGCATTGATTCTTGGGGCCCAGACTCCCCCCTATAGTGGGATCCTCAACACCAAGGCCCCTGGATAGCACTCCTAATGCTCTTCCTTCATCTAGTGTAGGGGAGAGTGAATATTCCTACATCTGGGTCCCTAGAGAACTTGGCTAGAGCCACTTCTGTGGGACTGAAAGCCCAGGGAGAGGTCACAGGAGACTGAGAGAAAAGGAAATACAGGCACAGATGAAGAGAACAGAGAAATAGCAAGATGAGAAGCAGGGGTGCTCAGAAGAGTTATGAGAAGTGAATTCAAGACCAGGAGATGAAGGCCAAAGACACAGGGCTGGAAGAGGATGGAGCTTGCCCCATATTCCCTGCCCTGCCTCCTTCATTACTCTGCTTTGAGGAAGCCCTCATCTCCCAGTGAGGCTAATCTGAGGAAGGTCCCAGAGCTTCATACAAAGTCATCTCTTACCTTGCAGGAGGCTGGGAGGCTGTTGTATGGGCATCTTCTGTCTGAAGATCGCTCCAAAAAAGGGCCTGCACACCAGGGCCCGCCGCTGGGTCTTGATGTACTGGAGCAGCTCATACAGGATGTCACCTGTACAGGGGTCAAGAGGGCAGGCTGCTGACTTGGCCCTGCTCCCCTGCAGTCACCTGCTTCTCAGAGTGAGGGCTGGGATCCTGATGCAGCTCCGAAAAAGCTGGGGCAGTGGAGGGCAGGGCCACTGTTACCCCTCTGATGGATCCAATAAAAGGCATCCTTTCTCGGGACACATCCAGAATTTGAAACATAAGTTCCTGGGCTAAAGGCTCAGATGAAAGTTGTCACCAATTGGATAAGAAAGTACATAGACCTCGATAAACATTATCAAAACTCAAAACAAAAAATAAACAAAAAAGGCATTCTTTCTTGGTGAATGAGCACAGGAGCTGCCAAGGCTCAAGGATGCTGTTCAGCTCTCACAGATCAAAGGCCTGTGGCAGTGCACAAACTGTACAAACCATACATGTCCCTGCAGCAGACACTGTTCTTCTAAGGCTCACTGGATTCCCCTAGCTTTTTGAAAGGGCTGCTCCTGCCTTCTAAGGAACAAGAGCCCCAGACATTTCCTTCCAATACCTCATTCTTTGGACACTAAATGAACCTCTTCCTACAAAGCAGGGGTTGGAGGGCCCTGACCATGGCCCAGAAACCTCCTGTGACTCCCATCTCTGGGCTAAGGTGCTAGTTGGGGAGGATAGAGGGGGACCTCCTGGGTAGAGAGCCATCCTGGGAATCTATAGCTACCAGCAGGATGAGATGTAGGCAGCCGACACTTGAGGCCCAGAGGTGAATGTAGGAAGCGGGGGTCTGTAACCAGGGAGGGAGACAATCAGAACACAACTCCCCTTTGCAGCTGTGATTGGCAGGGCTGTTATAGTTCTAGTAGGAAGCCTTGTGTGGGGTCAGTTCTCGGCTTTCTGCCTACGTCCATTTCCCACTTGAGATCTTAAAGGAAGGGATTACGTCCCAACTGCTACTGAAAAAGGTTTACAGGGGAAATGATGCCCTAGGACGTAGAATACGTCATGGGACTGGTCTTGGACATACTGTGAGAAAGGAAGTAACTCAGAATATTTAAGAAAATCACTCAGCCACATATACCACGAGCTTGCAAGGTCAAAAAGAGGGCTGCGTGGAAAACATGACTGAAGTCATTTAAAAAAAAAAAAAAGATACCAAATCAGCACATCCCCTCGGAGGCACCCGAGAGCAGGCCACTGTGAAGCAGGCTGTTTGTGGATGTTGCTGGAAGGCTCAGCCCACCGCCTTTGCCTTCTGCTGCCTTCATTGGAAATTCAAGCCTCTTAAGCCTCAGGCCTAAGTTTCTGGTTAAAATACAAACTTCTTGGAATGAAAAGCGTTTGTCATTATCATCAGTTTATATACCTCATGTGAATGAATATTTTTTTTCTGTAGGTTTGGGCTTTTGTTGTTGTTGTTGTTGTTTTTAGGAGTAGGGTGGGGAAGGAGGCATGGGAAGGAGTAGGGTGGAAAATAAAGAGGGGGAAATTCTGGCCTCAGACAAGGAGGGTAGAAGAGGTCCATGGGGCAGACAAAACCTTTGCAAAAGCCTGGCTGGGAATCACCCGGCAAATGGTATTCTACAACACGGGGAGGTGGGACGCCCCAACCAAAGCCTGCTCCACCTCCTTCCCTGTGTCCTCTTTAGGCACTTGGGATGCTCTGGCCTACCCTGGTTTCCCTGAAAGCCTCTGGAGCAGGTGGGTTCTCCCCCACCCCCATCCCGACCTGAAGCAGGGGCTCGGTGCCGGAAGTCGTCCTTGGTGAGGATGCACAGGGCGCGGCCGTTCATCTCGAACCCTTGCGCAAGGGTGCGCTGCAGAGCGAACTCCTGCTCCGCCCAACGCAGCCAGTGCAGCACGTCCTCCTTGCTCCAGAGCGCGGGCTGGATGCCTGGAAGCAGGGAGCACACGGGCTGGGACAGCGGATAGGCCTGCAGAGCGCGGCAGACACCCCCACACACACACACCCCACCCTCGCCACCTCCCCAAGCTCTTCTGGCTCCAGACTCGGGATTTTTTGAATCGCTATCTAGGTGCTCTCCCGCGCGTCCCTTCCATCTTTCATTTTCTCCGCCACCATGCTATTTGTTCTTTGCATTCTTGGCACCTTACACTCTTCAAAATTACATTTCACATTTGAGATAATTAACATTTCTATCTAACATTATACTGTATGTGATGTAAAAATCACCCCACCATCGTTGCATTGATTCAGGCCTACGATTCCCCCTCTCTGCATTTTCAGCTCCTTCGCGTCAACCAGGAAGTTCTGGTGGCCTAGTGGGTGAGGAGGGCTGCTGTCAACCCCACGGTAAGCAGTTCAAATCCAGCAGTTGATCGGAGAATGGAAGATGAGTATGGAAAATCTCATATGTTATGGTTTACAGCCTCTGAAAGCCCACTGGAGGATGAGCTAGGAATCGGTCCCACTTCACTGCAATTAGTTTTGGGTCCTATTAATCAAAAGGAGTCCTGGTGGTGTGGTGGTTAAAGTGTTCTGCTGTTGGTCAGCAGGTTCAAACACAGTAGCCTAGTCTTGATGAGAAAGAAAAGACAGATTAATTCCCTAAAGAGGTATGGCCTTGGAAATCTTATGGAGCCAGAACAGGCTGGACAGTAATGGGCTGGATTGGGTTTGGGTCACATTAAAGTCCTGCCCAGGGACCTCCTAATTGGGGAATTCAGCTGGGCTGGTTCCCAGCCTCTGGGACAGATCTGGGCAAAGCCCCCAGTGTGGGGCTACAGACAGAGATCTGTCACAGTTGAGGGAGGAGTCTGGGTGTCTCCCTGCTGGATCAGCACCTTCCACATCCATACGTGTTGACCATGGGGTGGCCAGTCCTCAGCACGATGGTCCTCTCACAGCTCTTCTCACTGGGCCAAGCACTTCTTCATACAGTCACTGCACCCTCCTAGCTTCATGAGACACAGAGCCTCGCCTGTCTGTGCCATCCCCCCAACACCTAGACACCTGGGACAGAAATGATGTTCAATAAACACTAAATATCTAACAGAGTGGGCCACATTTGTTAGAATTTTAGCTGTCCCTAAAATAAGTTCCTAGGTACTCTCTCAGGAGTGAAGGATGTGAACATGCGTGTGCAGCAGCACATGATAGGTAAATTCCTTTCAAGCATCCCAAAGTTGCAGACAAGGCTCCATCCCTCTACCTGTGACGTCCGGAGGCAGGAGGTGGTGCTGTGTATCTCCTGTGGCTTAGTCACAACCAGGAGCTGGGAATGAAAGTCAATTTCAAAACACAGAGATGCTTCAATCCCTCTCCAGCTGACCGTGGGAAGGCCACCACCTCCAGTTGCTGTCTTGCCGACTCACACTCAGAGTTTCAACCTCACGGGTGTCACAGTAGAACAGAGCTCCATGGGGTTTTCACCCCTTGAGAAGGCGTTCCCTCCTCTCAGACTCACTCGTGACCTCAGCCTGGGTCTTGCAAATAGTCCCCCAGCACTGCTGGCCGCTGAAGAGCCTTACAGCTTTGCCCTTTCATCACTCCTAACTCACCCAGCCTCATGCAATCCCTGATGGACACAGACCAAGAACAAGGCAGTGGAGGCAAACTCTTTCATCTTGCTCTCCACAAAACGGACTTGTGAATCTCCTGTCGTGAGTTGGGGGAAACGCCCCTCATCTACCCCTCCATCCCAGACCACCTCCGGTCACTTGGCTTTACAAGAGAGTCCTCAGAGTGGACTTTCTGCAGCTGTCCTGTACATCTCAGCTAGACAAACACATACAGGGAAAATGAGCCTACAGGGAAATAACATGTGTTCCCCTTAACTCCAATCCACAAAGCTAAGCAAGACTCGTTTTGTTTGTTCTCCTTCCTGCACAGGCAATCTGCCCCAGCCATTTCAACGAAAGCTGGAGGTGGAGAAGGAAGAGGAGTGGGACTAGAAAAATGTGAGAAACAGGACTGGTGTCCCAGCCATGTGAAAGGTCAAAGTCTCCTGTGGTGTCAGCAGTTTGTCTGGGATGTTGTTGACAGGAAAGTGAGTCATTCAGCATGCCCCATCTTTTAAACTTAGTGTTATGCTCTAATGGCCACGGCTGTTATCATCTCAATATTCTCAGACATTTGGATGAACAGAAGTCAGAAGATCTAAGATGATAAGCACAGAGGCATCCGACCAGCAGCCAATACCACCTTGCCTGCCACGTGTGCGAGCTACAATGGAAGTGGACCCTCTAATCCTTGTCAAACCTCAGACATCTGCACCCCATTCAGCTGTCACCTGCTAAGAGACCTCTAACTGCCTGGCAAGTCCACTCCCAAATTTCTGGTTCAAAGAAACTCAGATGGATAAGAAATCACTGTTATTGTTTTAAGTCTCTCTATTTTGGAATGCTTTGTTGTAACATGAGAACTACTAACATTAGGACATTTGGAATAATTTGCTGCACATTTCTAATCATAAAAATGTCAAGTCAGAGTATAGGATTGGCAGCCTCCTTTATGATTTTATGTTTCCTCAGGCAACAAAAAGATCTTAAGAAAGAAAAAGAGCTCTTCTTACACTCCATCATGGCACAGGAAGGAGGTGAAAAAGAAAACCCCATGCAGGAGCATCACATAGGCAAGCTCTGCCTCAATCAACATCTAGGGGAGAGTGGACACAGACTGACCTGGGAAGCAAAAGTGTTGGCTCACGGGCCAGACTCCTGCATTCTCCATAGTCAGATACACCATCAGATCCTTTGGCAGTATGTTATTGTTAGGTGTCATCAAGTCGACTATGACTCATAGAGACCCTGTGATCAATTGCTCTGAACCTTGCCCTATCCTGAACCAACCTGTCTCTGACACACCAGACTTCATTGTCAGTCACTATGTTAATCCATCTCATCCAGGATCTTCCTCTCCAGCACTGACTCTCTATCCTTTCAAGCATGGTGTCCTTCTGGCAACATGCCTAGAATATGTGAGACGGAGCTTCAAAATCCTTGCCTCCAAGGAGCAACCTGGTCTGACCTTTTCCAGGACAGGCTTATTTGTTCTCTTAGCAGTTTATGGTATGTTCAATACTCTTCTCAAGCACCATAATTCAAAGGCATTGATTCTTCTGTCATCTTTTGTCATTGTTCATCTCTCAGGTACACAGTAAGCAACTGACAAGACCACAGTCTGGATCAGATGCACCTTAGTCTCTAGACTGACATCTTTGCTCTTCAACACTTTGGAAAAGTCCCTGACAGTAAACTCTCCTAAAGCAATTCATCTTTTGATTTCCTGACATCGGGTGCCATGTGTTGATTGTGGATCCTAGCAAGATGGAATTGTTAACAACTTCAATCTTTTCTCCATCTATCATGGCACAGCCAATTGGCCCACTAGTGAAAATCTTTGTTATTAGGAGCAATGAAAATATTGCTGTCCACTGCACAGTCTGAGGGTCTGAGGGGCTAAGATGGAAGAAATCTTGGAAAAAGGTTTAAAGGTGAATGAGTACTGGGAAAAAGTATTTGGTAATGACATATCAGATAAGGGACTCGTATCCAGAATTTATAAAATACTTGAGTACCACAACAAGATAAAGGTAAATAATCAAATAGAAAAATGGGCACAGAAGATGAACAGACACTTCACCAAAGAAGACATTCAGATGGCTAACAAGCACATTAAAAAAATGTTCAAAATCCCTAGCTCTAAGAGAGACAAATCAAAACAACTATGAGATATCTTCTCACCCCAGTCAGAATAGCACAATTTAACAGAACAGCCAGCAACAAATGCTGGCGAGGTTGTGGAGAAACTGGAACCCTTATTCACTGTTGGTGGGAGTGTAAAATGGTGCAACCACTGTGGAAGATGGTATGGCATTTTCTCAAAAAGTTGCAAATAGAAATACCATTTGACCCAGCAATTCCACTACTGGGAATATACCCCAAAGAGACCATAACTGACATCCAAGCAGATATATGCACACCCATGTCTATTGTGGCTTTGTTCACAATAGCAAGGAGTTGGAAACAACTTAAGTGCCCATAAACAAACAAATGGATAGAGAAGCTGAGGTATAGTCACACAATGGAATACTACGCTGCATTGAAAAACAAGGAACTCATGCAATATTATTCAAAATGGGTGACCCTGGAGGACATTATGCTGAGTGAAGTATCTCAGTCACAAAAGGGCAAATACTGCACAGTGCCAATGTTGTAAAACAAGACTGACATCGGGGTTGGGGGGAGACCTCACCAGCGTTTGTTGCTGGCCGTTCAGTTAAATTTTGGTATTCTGACTGGGGTGAGATGATATTTCATTATTATTTATTAATAATAAATTATAAAACATAAAAAGGTGAATAAGTACAAGTTAATTAAAAATAACTTCTCAGATACCGGAAACTTTGGTTTGGGGATCCAGAAGCACATTGATCTAGGGATCACATAGGATTCCAGCTCTGGTATCAATGGCCTGGACTTCTTTTTTTTCTGTTATTTTTTATTATTAATTTTAATGAAAATTTACAGAGACTTTGGAAATTCATTCATTGTTGCACTTTTCTCCCTGCCCATCCCTCATTCCCCCGACCCAGTTCACTCTTATCTTTGAAAAGTAAAAGAAAAATTCTTTCATTGTTTTACAATCCCTCCCTCCAGGTCCACTCCACTTTGCAGCCTTCGCTCTGGACTCCTGTCATGACAATAAAACCTAATCACATATCCCTTTTAAACCGTTTTCTCCCTCATCTGTTTCAATGCAGTATATATTATTTATCCCATCTTTCTCAGTCTCCCGCCAACCCCGAAGTCAGTCCTGTTTTACAACAGTGTTGCCAGGCAGTATTTGTCCTTTTGTGACTGAGATACTTCACTCAGCATAATGTCCTCCCGGGTCACCCATTTTGAATAATATCGTATGAGTTCCTTGTTTTTCAATGCAGCGTCGTATTCCATTGTGTGAATATACCACAGCTTCTCTATCTATTCATTTGTTGATGGGCACTTAAGTTGTTTCCAACTCTCAGTTATTATGAACAAAGCCACAATAGACATGGGTGTGCATATATCTGCTTGGGTGTCAGTTATGGTCTCTTTGGCCTATATTCCCAGTAGTGGAATTGCTGGGTCAAATGGTATTTCTATTTGCAACTTTTTGAGAAAGCGCCATACCGTCTTCCACAGTGGTTGCACCATTTTACACTCCCAACAACAGTGAATAAGGGTTCCAGTTTCTCCACAACCTCGCCAGCATTTGTTGCTGGCTGTTCTGTTAAATTGTTCTATTCTGACTGGGGTGAGAAGATATCTCATAGTTGGTTTTGGCCTGGACTTCTATGTGGCGCTGGGAAGGCCAAGTTTCAGCTTCACAGACAAGAAGCACAAGACAGGCTGCATTAGGGCCAAACACAGAGTCAGCAAAAAGGAGGCCATGCGCTAGTTTCAGCAGATGTATAATGGGATCATCCATCCTGGAAAATAATTTCCTATTTCTACCCAAAAGATCAGTAAAATGTTTTTAGTGACATGTAAAAGAAATTAAAGAGCACCGCCCATCCATTTCTCATGGCTATTTTTGAGAAGAGCAAAATACTGAGAAATGTGGAGGGTCAAATAAAAAGAGGAAGACTCCCAAGAAGACGGATTGACACAATGATTATAACAATGAGCATATAAGAGATCAGAGATCGTTAGGATTGATGCAGGAGGTGCAGGACAGGACAAGGCTCCGTCTGTTTTTCACAGGGTATTAGTTGTAGTCAACAAGTTGGCACCTAAATCAACAACATCTTCTATGCTTCTCTGTCATTTTCCAGCCTTTGGTGGTGTTCATTGCTGTTGAGTCGGAACCAACTCACAGCCAGCCCTCCAGCAAGTTTTCAGAGGCTGGAAATCACACAGGAGAAGAATGCCCACCTTTTTCCTTCAGAGCAGCTGATGGATTCAAACAACCTTACTTTGGCTTGGGAGCACAACTCCCTACCCACTAGGCTACCAGAGCTCCCTCCCTTTTTTTTAACAATAAAAATGGAATATAAAATTTAAGAAAATAGAAAACATCTGTGTAAGCAAGGGTTTGCTGCTTAGCCCTTTCTGATTAACATCTCCAGCTCTTGGTCTTCAGGCAGGAAGGCACCTAATAACTCATACAGTCTCAGCCCTCACCACACCAATGAGGAGAGTGTCTGCCCTGTCAGCTGAAAATCCTCCACAATGAGAGTTCACATTCACCTTCTCTGACTTCCCTGCTAGGAAAAGTTAGAAGAAACCAGTGAGGAAATAGCAAACTGGGTGGTGGTGCTGGTGGTGGTGGTGGTGGTGGTGGTGTGGTGTGTGCTGTTGAGTCAGAACTGACCCATAGCTGAGCCTCTGGTGGGTTTTCAGAGGCAGTAAAATCACAGGGGAGGAGACTGTCCATCTTCCTCCCACAGAGCAGCTGGTGGGCTCAAACAATGTGCCTTTAGGCTGGCAGCGCAGCTCCTTACTACTAGGCCACGAGAGCCCCCTTAACAGTTTGTAAAAGATCAGCTCTTCTCCCCTTTACTCACGGAGGCTCCCAGGCAGTTTACAGATCCTCCCCTTCCTCAGCGGGTGCGCTTGAACATCACGTCTGGCTGGGGCCTGAGTGGCGGGAGGTGTTGTATGTGCTGTGGAGCACAGAGGAGAACTGGCCACTGCTCCCTCCTAGACAGGAAAGCCCAGAACAGTCAGTCAAAGGAGTGCATCCTGACAAACGCTCAGACCCACTACCACCGCCTGTCGCACAGTGATCCTACAGGATCACGTTGGCCTGCCCACAGGGTTTCCAATGTGGTTAATCTTTACGGAAGCTGAGCGCCTCGTCTTTCTCCCATGGAGTGGCTGGAGGATCCAAACGGCTGCCCACTGGGTTAGTAAGTGAATACTTTAACCACTGCACCACAAGGTTTCAAACCAAAACTATACCCATACAATAGAGTTCAATTTAGAGTGACCCTCCATTGGGTTTCTGAGGCTGCAAATCTTTTATGTCTTTTTCCTGCAGAGCACTTGTTAAACTGAGGCTGCTTACCTTTTGGGTTGCAATCATCTGGCATATAACACACTATAATTCAACTCAATGCCATGGAGTCAGAACCTACTCATCACCAAGCTCCCACTGTGTTTCTGGGGTTGTAGATCACACAGGAGGAGAATGCCTGTCTTTCTCCCTTGGGGTCACGGGTGGATTCAACCAGAGCTCCCTGCCACACACTATGCCACCATTAAATTTATAAGAATTCTTTTTTAAGTAAACAAGATGAGGAGTTCCGTTTTTTTGTCTCCTTACTTAACAAACACTACTGAGTTCCTCTCTGCCTTGTAAAACAAAAAGGCTGTCATCAAAATTCTTCTCTATTGTGCTTCAGTCTCTGTTTTCCTCCCTAATGTACTTCTTTCTCAGTTAAGTCAAAAGTAAAAACTTGGTTCTGTGTTTTATCTAAATTTAAAGAGTCCAAATGACTGATACAAATAAGACTTCCATGTATCTTCAACTGAGGTGAAGAACAGTAAACATATCAAAAACTTCCAATAAACCAAAACCAAAAAGCCCTAAAAAAAAAGAAAAATTCTTTTTTAAAGAAAAAAGCCTTCATTGCTGCCCACAGATTCATCTTGCTACAATCAACATCTTGTACACAGTGGAGAGTTTTATATCCTGCGTTGAATTATTGTTGTTGTTGTTGTTATTGTTAAGTGTCACTGAGTTGAGCATGACTCATAGCAACCTATGAACAAAAGACCTGAATCCTGTTGTATAACTATTGTCATTTCTCTAAGTTCATAGAGTTTCCAAAGGCCTTTTGTTTTGAAAAGTGGGTGTAAATCCTGCTTCCAAGCCTGTCTCAATCTGGAAGCTCCACCAAACACGGTCCACCATCGGTAACCATTACGGCATTTGACACACCAGTGGCACATCGTTCAGTATCACAGCAACCCGAAGTTGCCTCAGTACAGTGAATTGACCGACCAATGCTGTACCACTTAGAGGAATGTACATACCAAACAGAATTAACAAGGCAGCCCAACCAACTTTTAAAAACCCAGGTCCGAGCTCCAGGCCCTGACTGGCTCTAAATAAGAAGTTTCCAGGCCACAGTACATTACTGAATTACATCTCCCCAATTCAATCATCATGTTCCCTTGCTCTATTCAGACAATAGCTTCTTGATCTAGCTATAGATTTCTCATGAGCACAATTAAGTGTTCTGGGGTTCCCATTCTTTTCAATGTTTCTATAATTTATTTTGATCCACATAGTCAAATGCCTTTACATAGTCAAAAAACACAAATAGACATTCTTCTGGTAGCTAGGATCCATCTGACATCCACAATCATATCCTTAGTGCCACAGCCTCTTCTAAACCTAGCTTGAACTTCTTGCACTTCCCCATTTTAGCTGGTTTTTGATTATTTTCAGCAATATTTTGCTTGCATGTGATATTAATGGTATTGTTCAATAATTTCCACATTCTGTTGTATCACTTTTCTTCGGAATGGGAACAAATATGGATCTCTTCCAGTCAGTTGGTCAATCAGAAGTTCTCCAAATTTCCTGATACATTCAGGAAAGACTGATGAGTATATCCAGGGCTGCTTCTGTTAGTTAAAACATGGTAATGATAGTCCATCGATTCCTGGGCCTTATTTTATGCCTTCAGTGCAACTTGAACTTCATCCTTCATTACCACTGGCTCTAGTTCATATGGTACTTCCCAAAATTTTTCAGTGTAAACTAATTCTTGTCTGAACTAGTTGACACTAATTGTTGTCTGAACCAATTGCTGTCTGAACTGAGCAAGGGAACACTGAATGGCTTAAAATCAGGAAGGGTGTGTGTCAGGGCTGTATCCTCTCTCCATATCTATTCAATCTGTAAGCAGAGCAAATACTTCGTTAAGCCTGACTCTATGAAGAAGAATGTAACATCAGGATTGGAGAAGACTCATCAACAACTTGCCTTGTGCAGATGACACAACCTCACTTGCTGAAAGAGAGAAGACATAAAATGCTTGCTGCAAAAGATAAGAACTACAGCCTTTGGTATGGATTACATCTCGACATAAAAAAAAACAAACAAACCAAGGTCCTCACCACAGGACCAACAGTCAACATAATGATAGATGGAGGAAGGATTGAAGCTGTCAGCAATTTCAATGTGCTTGGATCACAATATCCTTAGTACCAACACTCAGGAAATCAGGAGACATATTGCATTGGTCACATCTGCTGTTAGGGACAATGATGTCAATTTGAAAACTAAGATGTGCCTGATTCAAGCCATGATCTTTTTAATCACCTCCAATGCATCAGAGAACTGGACAATGGATAAGGATGACAGAGGAAGAATTGATGACTTTGAGCTGTGGTGCTGAAGAAGAGAATATCCCATGGACAGCCAAAAGAGCAAATGGATGTCTTGGAGAAAATGCAGCCAGAATGCTCCTTGGAGGCAAAAAGATGGTAAAGTTTCGTTTCATATATTTTGGACATGTAACTAGGCGAGGCTATTCCTTGAAAAGAGAAGAGGGGTCAGCAAAGGAGAAGAAAACCCCAATGAGATGGATTGACACAGTGACTGCAGCAATGGGCTCAAGGCTATTGGAGATTATGAGGATGGCACAGGATAGGTCAGGGTTCAGGTCTGAAAAAAAAAAAGTTAAAAGAAAAGGGTTCAGGTCTGTTGTTCATAGGGTCACGATGAGTTGAACTTGACTCGATGGCACCTAGCAACAACAACAGTTCAAATGTTTCCTCTCATACATTTTCGGCAAATTGTTGGGAAGGGCCAGTTCCCAGAGAAAGACATCATGCTTGGTAGAAAGTGAAAAAGAGAAAGATTCTCAATGATATGAATTGATATATGTGGCTGCAACAATGGATTCCAGTACAGCAATAATTATGAAGATTCTGTAGGACAGGCAGTGCGTTTTGTCATTATTGTTGTACAAAGGTTTGCTATGAGTTTAAACTGACTAAATGGTGTCTAATCATGGAGGATAATTCAGGCTTTGTCATGCATATGCCTAATGCTGGCAGAGGTATCCTTCGCTAAGACTGTAACTTAAAATCTGAGGACCTGTGGATACATACTGGAATCTGTTCTTGTGAGAGGACAGAAGAGAATCTGTGGGGCCAGGAGCAAATTAGAAATAAGTAAGCAAACACGTAAATGCCATCTGCAAAAAAAGGGAAAAGATAATGATGAAAAACCTGGCAATGATTCTGGAACTCTGGTGGCCTAGTGGAAAGAAGCTACACTGAAAGCCAAGCGGTTTGAATCCATCAGCTGCTCCCAGGGAGAAATCACCTCCTGTGCTATTTACTGCCTCTAAAAACCCACAGCAGGGTCAGCTATGGGTCGGTTCCAACTCAAAGGTACACAACAACAACATCCAACTCAAAGGTACACAACAACAACATGGATAATGATTGCACTATGATTTATGAAATTGCTATTACTAAATTCATAGACACCTGAAAAATGTTGAATTGGCATTTAAGTGACAACTACTTGTACTTTCTTTTTAAATGGGAAAGAGATCCTCATAGAAATGACCAAACCCCACCTCCCTCACTGTAATGTGAAGTCTCTTTATCATTTTATGATCAGCATTGCCCACAGAGCTAATCAAGAAGATAAGAAAAGTGCTCTTGGAGCTTCCAGGGGTTCATGCATGATCAGTCACAGGCTGCCACATCTGGAAAAGGAAAACTGAAACCAGTCCCAGCAAAAGTCATTTGTTCCCTCTGGGGTCTTTGAGAGCTTTACCTTCATCTCTCAGTGTCTGAGGAGGATAATGTATCTAGAGCCAAGTATTTGGGACCTGGAGCTGACAAATCTCTGGAAGACTTGACTGCCACAAAAGAATGCAAATGTTTTATTGGGAGGGGGTTCTCACTTCACTTTTGGTCCTGCCTTTCCCATCCCAACTCCAGGTGCTTAACCAGAGGTAACTGAACCCAAGTGGAAGGGACTGCGCCTCTCTGGAGAAGAGACCCTAAGTCTTTCTTGGTCTAGGGCTTGTATACATCTCCTTGTCTACTCTTTTCTACTCTTCTAGACCAGGAGAATAGGGAATTCCAAGGTTGTAGCCACCTGGGAAATGCCAGGTGCTGAGTGTCAAACTTCAGTGTTTCACCTTGAAGGGCAAGGAGGTGTCTCATAAAGTGAGGGTGGATCTTGGGAAGAGGGTAGTGGAGAAAGAACCTTAGAAAGAGGAAAGGGGTTTCGGCTCTGGAGGCAGTGTTGCGGCTTTCAGGGAACAGACAGGAGCTGTGGTGGGCTGTGCACATGGAGGGGCCTGGCTTACGTTGAAATTGCTGGGGATCTCAGGTCTGAATTGTTAGGGGCAGAGAAGGCGTAAGGAAACTGTGGAAAGAGTTTGGAGGGGCCTGGAGGCCAGCTGGCTAACTCGGAATGATGTTGGAGGTGAGGGGCATAAGAGGTGGGAATGGAGGTGAGGGAGACGGAAAATGAGGTGTTCAAGTGAAATTCCAGCCAAAAGAAAGGTCTGATAAAACGAGTCTAAAAGTTGAAGTGATGGAGCAAGCATAGAGTGGGAGAAGGCAGGCGGGTCCCTCGGGGCTCTTACCTGCATTGTAGGTGGAGGCGGGCGAGGCGCGGGGCCTCCCTGGGGGCGCTGCATTGAGGGGCGCTGCAGGACGTCTGGGGCCGCCGCTCGCCGCCCCTCCCCTGAACCCCGTCACTGGGCCTGAAGACCCGGGTGGAAGGTGCGTAGGAGGGAACCGCCGAGGATCTGCCAGCGAGGCGAGCAGACACGCGGGCGCTTCGGTAAGCGCTTTCCTTCCCGGAAACGAAAACGAAAGAGTGGGATCTGGCTTCACTCCCACCCCGTCAAGTCTGGGGAGGGCGGGCGCCAGCCCGGGCAGGAGCGGGGTGCGGGGTCCGGGGTCCAGCGTCCAGCTGCTCGCCCTCCCACGGCACTCGCGTCTTCCCACCCCGCCCATGGATACCCCCTCGGGCATCCCTGCCTGTGGCCCACGTGGGACCAGGTGAAATTCGGCCGGGTTTGGGGAGCCCTTCCCCCCGGGTGAGTAGGAGGGGCTGTCCTTGGATCCCGCTAGACCAGGCGTCCTTCACTAGACAGGGTGGTCTTCACACCCACTCTCTGCCTCTGCTGGTTAGCCCTCTGGACGCCACACCGCCCCCCCATCTGAACACCTGTGGCGCTCCTCTAGGCCCTAATATTCAGTGAACACTGGCTGACAGCTTTACCCAGGTAGCTAACTGCTCTGGGCATGGAACGCACCAACCCATCACCCCTGTCCACCTGCCTCAGCTCTGAAGTTGCAGAGCACAAAATTGGACCAACACACACGCCAAAGAGAAGGAGCAGAGAAACCTTTAGAGCCTTTTGCAGAAAATCTACGGTTGGAAACGCTGTTATAAAGAAAGCTTTCACTCACTCAGTCACTGCCTAGAACTGGAACTGACCCGCAGCTGGCCTTCTAGTGGGTTTGCAGAGGCTGGAAATCGCAAGAAAGATTGCCCATCTTTCTCCTGTGGAGGAGTTGGTGGATTCAAACCACCTCTGAGTTGCCAGTACAATTCCTTCCTTCCTCTGCCACCAGAGCTCTCTCAAAAAACGTGTTAGCATTGATACATCATACAACAGACTCCTAATAGACAGTCAGAACCAGGCCAGCAAAAAAGGAGAAAGAAATGGCAAAGGCTATGAATAGGCAGTCCACTTAAAAGGAAATGCCTGGACATAGAAGTTGTTTAGACTCACTCATTATAAAGGATGTACAAATCGAAATTACTCTGAAATATTTTTTGACCTAGTCACAAAACTCAAATTCATTGCCACCAAGTTGGAATGGACTCATAGCTGAGTCTCCATTGAGTTCCTGAAGCTGTAAATCACACAGAGAGAGATTGCCTGTATGTCTCTGGACACTGATGGATCCAAACCCCTAGATAGGCATGGGCTTCAGTTGTTGTTATTGTTGTTGTTATGTGCCCTCAAGTCACTTGCTACTCATAGCAGCCCTATGTAGAAGAGCCCTAAATGTCACTCTATCCTGTGCCAACCTTGCCATCTCAAACACACTCACTCATTCCCATCACCCCAATCACAGAATCGATCCTTCTCATAAAGGGTCTTCCTCTCCTGTGCAGTCCTTCCACTCTCCCAAACATGATGTCCTTCTCCAAGGACCAGTCCCTCCTTGCAACATGCCCAAAGTATGTCAGACAAAGCTTCAGAATCCTTGACTCCAAGGAGCACTCTGGCTTCACCCTCTCCAGGACAAACTTGTTTGTTCTCCTAGCAGTCCATGGTATATTCAACACTCTTCTCTAGCACCATAGTTCAAACGCATCAGTTCTCTATCATCCCTAGTCACTGTCCAACACTCTGATGCATATCACCTAATTGTAAAGACTATAGCCTGGATCAGATGCACCTTAGTCTCCAGCCTGACATCATTGCTCTTCAGTACTCTTGAGAGATCCTTCACAGCTGACTTTCCCAATGCAATTTGTCTCTTGATTTCCTGGCTGCTGGTACCAAGAGTGTTGACTGTGGAGCCAAGTAAACGAAAACTGTTAACTATCTCAATCTCTTCAAAATCCATACTGATGCTGCCAATTGGCCTAGTGGTGAGAATCTTTGCTTTCTTGATGTTGAGCTTCAATCAATATTGAAGACTGCAGTCCTTGACCTTTTGCAGCAAGCGCTTCAGGTCCTCCTCAGTTTCAGCAAGCAGGGTTGTGTCATCTGCATAACACAGGTTGTTGATAACTCTTCTACCAATCCTTGTGCCACATTCCTCCTCATACAGCCCAGAGTCTCAGATGATCTGTTCTGCATACAGACTGAAAAGTATGGAGACAAAATACATCCCTGACAGACCCCCTTCTTGATTAAGAACCATGTAGTGTCTCCTTGCTCTGTTCTGACTGCCTCGATATTTGTTCCCATTTCAAAGGAAGATGACCCAACAGAGTGCGGAAATTATCAAACAATATCATTAATATCACATGCAAGCAAGATTCTGCTGAAAATTATCCAAAAACAATTGGAGCAATATGTCAACAGAGAACTGCCAGACGTGCAGGCTGGGTTTAGAAGAGGTCGTGGTACTAGGGATATTATAGCTAATGTTAGATGGATCTTGGCAGAAAGCAGAGAATACCAGAGGAATGTCTGTCTGCACTTCATTGACTATGCAAAGACTTTTGACTGTGTGGATCACAACAAGCTATGGCTGACTCTGAGAAGAATGGGAATTCTAGAACATTTGGTTGTGCTTATGCGAAACCTATACTTGGGCTTCAGTTAGCAGACCAAATCAGCATGATCTTAGTCTGATGAAAATTCAAGTTTAATGATAGTTTGCTGGAGAGGCTGTGGGATACATATACTTCCCGGAATTATAAAGTGTTACAAAGCCCATGAAGGGCAAACTCTAGCAAAACTATAAATGTGACCTAGCAATCCTACCTCTATATTTTTCTTTAACAAATACACTCCCACATATCCCAAATGAGTCTTTATTTCAGCATTGTTTATAATAGCAATTGATTTAAAAAAAAACCCTCAAGTAACCATGTATAGAATGCTGATAAAGTAAATGATAATACACCCATTATTTAACAGAAAATGGATGAGAGTTGTAAAAGGCATGGTGAAGCTCTCAGAGGACCAATGGCAAGCTTTCCCAGAAGCAGTACAGTGTTGCACTTAAGAACCTGGACTGATGACAGCCAGCCTAAATGCTGACCTTTGAATCCCAGCTCCGTTACTTACCAGTTGTGTGCCCTTCACCAAGTTATTTCAGCTCTGTACTGCCCCTCCTTCTCTGGGGAGCTCTGGAGGTCTAGTCAGTAGCAAGTTGCCCGGCTAACCCAAAGGCTGGAGTCTGCAGCAATTTGAAACCATCAACAGCTTGAGGGAGAATGATGAGCAGTCTCCTCATCTCTAAATTACAACCTAAATAGAAACCTGATGGAAGGTTGCAGTGAATTGGAACTAACACAATGGGAGACATAATATGTCACACAGTATGTATATTATAGGTACACTGGCAGTGCTGGACAATGACCAACGATGACAGAATTGATGTCTTTGAGTTGTAAGGGTGGAGAATATTGAACATACCATGGACTGCCAAGAAAACTAACAGGTCTGCTCTAGAGAGGATGAAACAACGCTGCTCCTTGAAGGCAAGGCTTTTGAGGCTCCATCTCACGTACTTTGGGCATGTAGCTAGAAGGGACCAGTCTTTAAAGAAAGCTATCATGCTTGGAAGGGCTGAGGGACAACCCGAAGGAGGAAGACCCCAGAGGAGATGGATTGACACAATAACTGGGGTAATGAAGGTAAATATGTCAGAGATGCGAGATTGGCTCAGGACAGGGCAGGGTTCAGAAATATTCTGCATAGTGTCATTATGAGTCGTAGTCGATTCTATGACACATAACAAGTATGTTGGTGCTCTGGTGTCATAATAATATTACAAGTTATGCTGCCAATCAGCTGCTCTGCAGGAGAAAGATGGGCAGTGTTCTCCCATAAAGATACACAGCCCTATTTTATACATAGATATATAAACTTTCATGCCTATAAAGAAACTAGAATAATATGTAAGACCTTAATAAACATCATTTGGAATTTATTTCTAGTTTAGGAGACCCTGTGGGGCTATCCTATTTTATCCTGTGGGGTCAAAACTGACTAGATGTCATCTGACAACATCCACAACATACTTGTTAATATCTCCTTATTTTAAGAGAGTTGTTATAAAATCATTCTTAAGAAGATGGGAATGACAATAATCTCTAGAATTTACCCAAGAGCATTTGCCTTTTAATGAGAGACATGGAGAAATGAATTAAATGTTGAATTTCAGCTATTACTTTGAAGTCAGTAGATGAATCTTCTCGGAATCCCAGATACTGCATGTACAATGCCTAAGCTGATCTAGACTCTTTACAAATTAAAAAAAAGTAACTGAAAAGAATATATGATTAGGCATTCTATGTATGACAATAATATGGAACAATTGTGGGGTGGGGTGGGGAAGGGAGATGGGAGCAGGAGAGGGAAGAAAATGTTGAACGATGAAAAAATAATAAAAGGTGGAGAAGGAAATAAATAGGTATTACCTGAGACCAGCTGATAGGACAGAAATATTTCCATTTGAAAGGACAAAGGCGAGGCTCATAGTGTACAGAGTGATGACGAGGAGTAAGTGGAATCCTCCACAAAAGAACTATGCACAGGTGTTTCATGCTCAATAACATAAACAGTATTTATTATGTAAGCTATTCTTTTTTAAAAATAACATTTTCCTACAAAGAACTTTTCCTTTTGAACAATGCATCTATAGAACTTATCATATATAACAATAAACCTTCTTAAACATGTAATACTTTGTAAAAGGGAGAGACATAATATGAGGTAGACAAAAAAAGGCAAAAAGAGAACAACAAAGGGGAAAGAAGCTACATAAATAACAAAAAAGGACCAGGGAATGAGCAGACTAAATTACAAAGGGCCCACCCACCAATAATGAAACCACTCAGCAATAGGAAAAGAATGACAAGGCTTTGTAATGGATTCACACCTCACTCTAGTCTTGCTTCTACCAGGACTAACCCCTCATAGTTTTAAGCAGACAAAGCTGAAGGAGGACCACAGGGCAGTGAAACACTTGTGCAGGCTGAATGGTATGAAAATATCAGGAGTGATTAAGAGACATTCAAGGTGGGTCACAGGAGGGTGAGAGAAGCAATAAAGGAGAAGAAAGAACTTGAATGTTTGGAAACACTCAGCATTGGTGGTGATGGTGTGGTGGGAACCAGAAGTGACTGACGGGCTTCTAGGCATGGAGACAGGGATGAGAGAAGCATTGTGTTGGATCTGAATTAAGTAACAGAGAGTTCCCTATGATTTTTCTGAGAAGGTAAGAGGTGGGATGAGAGAGAGAGGATTTGCTGAGAAGTCAGGCACTGCAGA